AAATGCTCGAGGCGTTTCGGGTTTTCATTTAGGGTTTTAGGGTTTTAGGGTTTTAGGGTTTTAGGGTTTTAGGGTTTTAGGGTTTTAGGGTTTTAGGGTTTTAGGGTTTTAGGGTCTTAGGGTCTTAGGTTCTTAGGGTGTAGGGTCTGGGTTTGAAGGTTTAGGGTTCCTAGGTGTGCCTCCAGCTCGGTGATGGTTTCGATGGCGAGCCAGTTCCTGTGGGTCACTTCACGTGCTTCGTGCACGCCCGGCCCTAAACCCTAAGCTAAAGGGGGCCGTGAAAGCCCCGAACCCTGAGTTTTCAGCCCCAGTCACAGCAACCGCAAAGCCTCGGGGTTGGGGTTCCGGATTAGAGTTCCCCGTCACGCTAACCCGACCCAAAAGCCCCCGATGCCTACAAGCCCAAAAGGTCTGACATTTTCCGAAAGAGCAACCTTGAGCCCGAAGCCTACACCCTAAACCCGATTGAGAGCACCCCCCCCCCCCTCCCCTTTCCAGGTTGCCAGGCCGTCCCCGGGTGGGTAGGCTGGAAACCAGCCCTGCTCCGGCCAACTCCTGGGAGTTGTTCTTTTCTCGTTTTCCAGGATTTTTCTTGAAGGGTTGAGGGTTTCGAAATCATGTAGGGTTTAGAGTTTAGGGTTTGCTTGTCTTTGACTGAAGAACCCCCTTTTTTGTTTTTTTTTGGGGGGGGATTAAGGTCAGGGGCGTGCTTGGGGCCTCAGACGGCCTCAGCTCGGTGAAGGACCCCTTCTTGGCTTTCGCGCTCCACCGGTCGATGCCCTATATACAAGCCCCCAAAAAACCGGAAACCCCACCCTAAACCCTAAACCCTAAACTCTAAACCCTAAACCCTAAACCCTAAACTCCCCACCACGCCAAAGCAACACGCAAAATAACTATCCCTCCTGGATGGCATCCGTGATGGTGAAGTACGTGTTGTTCTTTGACAGGTGCGAGAGCCTTGCCCACACTGGGAAAGAACACCCAAAAAAAAACAACCTTGGAACACAACAATCCAGCCACAGTGGCCATCCCACATAGATTTTAGGGTTTAGGGTTTCGGGTTTCGGGTTTAGGGTTTAGGGTTTAGGGTTTAGGGTTTAGGGTTTCGGGTATTCCCCCCGGGGCCTCTCGAAAATCGACCTTGTGCAGGCGAAGAGGCCGGCCTTGACAGGAGGTTTTCAAGGCGCAGGGCTTCGGGCTTGGGGCTCCAGCCCTATGTAAAGAGGGACGTCCCCTTTGAATGTTAAGACCGGCTGTCAGTAATCTTGCCCTAAACTAACGAGCACGAAGCGACCCCAATTCCCCAACTCCTTACTAAGTAAGCCCGAAAACACATAAGTAGGACCCAGCAGCCCAGCCCTGAACTCCTAACACCAAAACTCCAACCAAAAAAAAAATAAAGCCCTACCTGACACCCCGAACGTACCCTCAACCCTTAACAACCTGCCGAAGGCCCGCTGAAACCTCTCAATGCCCCCAATCTCTTCTCGCCGAAACCTAAACCCTAAACCCGAAACCCTAAACCCTAAACCGCAACAGACCTTCCTAGAACCTCCGAGGCTGAGGTCGGCCGCCTCAACGCCAACGCACGGGCAGCGGGCCTCTCCTGCGCTTCGAGGTTCTAGGATTCGAGGGCTTGGGGTGTAGGGTTTAGGGTTTAAGGTTTAGGGTTTGGGGTTTGGGGTTTGGGGTTTGGGGTCTGGGGTGTGTAGGGTTTAGGGTTTAGGACGATCAGAACATTGGTGCTGCAAAGAAACAAAAAGGTCTTTACAGGGATGTGAAACACCAAAACACCAAACACGCCTTTCTTGAGCCAAAGGCTTTGGGTTCTTCACGGATACGGAAAAATGCTATTTTTTTGGAGCTTTAGGGGTCAGGGATGAAGAGCCGAAGGGATGGTGGAGGTTGGGTACAGTAGGGTCGGCGTGTGGGCTGAGAGAAGCTAGGCCCCGCCCAAGGCTTCTCATGAGGTGGCCTTTGACCATGGGCTCGCCGAGGGCGCGCGAGAGCTCGCAGACCTCGGCTTGGGATCGTTGGGGGGGTGGGGGGAGGTTCGCTGTGCGTTCTCCCTCACTGCCAGCGATGTGCCCGGATGCATTTTGCGCGGCGTCCTTGGGGCTGCACATGGCCACAGGGCGATACGCGTTAGCGAGAACGAGCATCAGGTTTTGTGCATCGGGTCTTGAGGGGTGGACTTCTTCGGCTTCGGGGTACTACTCCTCATCGTGACGGCTCTGGGACGTTGGGCCCACTCCTACTGCCATTCCAAACACACCGCCAGGGGGCTCGAAGGAGGTCGTCAGTGCATCTTACCCCCACCGTCGTGGCGGGCAAGCCTGCCACAGGCCCTACATCCATATGAACGGGCAGCAAAGGAGAAAGAAACAAAGACGTGATGCGAGCATGCTCAAGCTCCGATGTCTGTGCTCAAGACTTGCACCCTGAATGGTCAGCTGCGCCAAGCAGACAAGAAGGCACATCCGAGTCACAACCCCAACCTGTAGAGCACCCCTGCAAGCTTTGCAGAAGCATACTCCCGAGACCTTGTCCCATGCCAAGCCTTTCGCACAGCAAAGAAAGACCCCTCAAAGAGTAGCAGCAATGGCCTACCCAATGCTCACGGGAGAAGTCCACCAGCACGCAAACATCTGTGGACCCGGGTCTTAGCCTGGCTTCGAGCTCAAGGCTTCTGTGTGTCGTGCGTGTGTGTCTTTTGAAAGGGGGGGGGTGTTAGATACTTCAATGTCAGTTTGTGACCCTTGGTGTATGCGTGCGCCCTGCAACGAGCCAGCTCCCATGCATAGCAAAGGGCTTCGAGCCTTGGAATGGGTCAGCGTAGGGCTCTCGAACTTGACGGGAGCACTCGGATTGAGGGAACCCGGGTGACACCAAAGAGGAAGGCAATAGGATGGAATAGGAGTGGAATAGGGTTGAGGAGAGTGGCTTCTTGGGGAGGAGCTAACTGGGAGTATTGGTTCGGGTTCAGCCCGCAGAGAATTCCGCAGTCCCGGCACTCGCCAATGCTCGCAGGGTCGGCTGCGCGCGGCAGATGTCCTCCACAAGGGCCTGATCGTAGATATGATCTGCGGTGGCCTGGCGCAGTTTTCAGGGCTCAAGATTTTAGGGGCAAACTGGGGGGCAAACTGGGGGCAAGCCGGGGTGAACTCACTCCGAAAGCATGGAGGTCAGTGTGCTGCTGCGGCTATGCTTTAAAGGAACTTTGGAGGTACGAGACATGAAGGCACGGCTACGGCTGTCCAGGCGCAGCAGAACTTCCTGCACTTGCATTCTTCTTGTGGCCATGCGCATGTTCATGCCAGACGAACGATGTAGTGCAGCGCTGTTCCAAACAGCTCTCGCAATCCACTAGCGCAGCACAATGGACGGGTGGCTAGGGAACTCCTCACAGCACCACCGCCTTTACCAACACATGTCATACGACTTTCTGCCTCTTTTGTCTTTCCCCTAACAACAAACAATAAGAGGAAGCTTCTTGGCGACTCCGGGTTCCTCTGGTTTAAGATTTTGGGGTTTTTTGGGGCTCACAGGCCACACCCGCCAAGAACCATGAAGTGGTGTTTTTGTAGGCTCAGAGGACCTAAACTCCGAAAACAAAAGACAGCATTGGAAACCAAAACCCGGAGCTTCAACATGCGGGTGAGGCGATGAGGACTCCGCTGGATTCATCCTCCTTGGCGCGCCCGCTGTGTTTAGGACTCAGGGCTTAAAAATGCAGGCTTTGGGCTTTGAAGCGAGGGCCTTTCAGGAAGGACTTGGGGTTGTCAACTAAAGAAGCAGGACTCGGTCACACGGTGCCGTTTGCCACCCCAACCGGCAGTACGACAAACCCCACGTTGTGGTGATGCTGGAAAATGCCTTCCCTCGATGATCACATTCACTCCGTTGACACTCGGAGAGGCAAGAAACCCTCTACGTGTTTGTTGATCATTCAGACTCCATGCGCGGTACAATCTCTCCAGCCGTTTCAGAATGCACCTCCGGTCTCCTGGCTTAATTTCAAAGAGACAGCCTGTGCTGCAACGATCCGGCATAGCAAAGGCATTCCCAGGTTCCGAATAAGTCGAAGATGCCAAGCAACACCATGGGCATTGCTTCAACATTGCAACACGCTTTCGAGAAGCAAGACCAAGCTTTTTCGGCGCATCGCGACTCAAACCTATACGGCAATAGAAGGCGGCTCAGAACCCGACCAGCCCTACACCCGAGGGCCCCGCATCAGCGAAGCAGTGCTCGCCCGCGGCAAGCAAGGAAGCAGCGTAGAAGCCTGCTCTGGGGCCCTTTTGGGGCCTGTAGGAGTGTACAGGAGGGTCTGGGGGGCCATAGGAGGGTATAGGAAGGTATAGGAGGGTATAGGAGGGGAAAGGAGGGTATAGGAGGGTATTGGAGGGTATTGGAGGGTACCTAGGGTTTAGGTTCCGGGATGCGAGGCGATGTAGCTTGTGGCTGGAGACACATAGCCACCATAAGCCAGCCCTGAGTTTTTGTAGGTTTTGGCGGTTGAGGGTGTCGGCTGTTGCTTCGGGGGGCCCAGTGGAGGTGCAACATGCAAGATCGCAGACGACAATCCGTGGAACGCGGAACGAAGTTGGTATGGATTCATACTCCCGCCCTGGACCCTGAACCCTAGAGTCTTTCGCGAACCCCACTTTCCTACATCACCGGCCTAATAGCACTTGGAGAACAGAATCGCAACCAAAAAAAAGCTCTTCGAGCGACAAGTCCCTTAAACACTCCATAAAGCAAAAATGCGCCCGCTATGAGCCCCCTCAGCGAGCCCTACAGTGTCCTAAGACCGCGGAAAACAACCCTGAGGCCATTGGGCTGCTTTGGAAACGGAAGGGTACTGGGGGGAAAGAATGTAAATTGTGGGCCCTTGGTGGCACATGTGGCACCCTCTGCTGTGAGATACAAAACTAGAGACCCCCAAAAACCCGTGAGGAGTGCAAAGGCCCCTTGGTTTCGAAGCCCGGCTGCGG